TTGAGACGGGTGGCGGACATGGTATCCTTGCGAATTATTGCAATGGTTGCTTTTGCTGATCTTGCCTGCTTTTTCTTCCGCAGCCCAGAGAGTGCAAGTAAACAGGAGAAGCGGGGAGGAGTGAGGTGTCGGCACACACAGGATCCCGTCACAGAGCGAGCACAACACAACAAGACGCAAGCACACACAGGGAAAAGAAGCAACACTGCTCAAAACCGCCAAGGGCACCGGTGCACAAGCGCCTTTGTACCCCACAGGGTGGCTGCTGTAAGGATCCCTCCGCCAACAGCACGCCCAAAGAAACAATTCGTATTCACATAAGAACAATAACAGCCAAAAAATAAAATAAAATATATACCAAAAAACATAAACAAAAAGACAAACCAAAGAGTGAAACAAAAAAAAAAAAACGAACGATCGAGACAAATAATAATAACCCAGTAAATACCCATATGCAAGACCCAGAGTGTGAGCTGTGTGGATGCGCATGGGCTGCGGTGTTTGCCGTGTGCACGCCCGCATGCGGGTGATTCCTCTTGACACCAAGTGCCACCCTGCTACAATTTGCTCCCCAACATGCACACACAGACAGACACACAAAGAGGGCTCTCATCCCCAGAGCAGCGCTGCCACGGCAGCAGCGAGAAAAGCACCGGCGGCCACCCAAGGCTGCGCGACGGCGCCGGCAGCGTCAATGGACCCCGATTCATTCGTCTCATTCTCCTGTGCGGCCACAACCAGCTGGAGGCACAGCAGAACGCACACAACGAGGGCCACGGCGAAGCGGTTGAGACGGGTGGCGGACATGGTATCCTTGCGAATTATTGCAATGGTTGCTTTTGCTGATCTTGCCTGCGTTTTCTTCCGCAGCCCAGAGAGTGCAAGTAAACAGGAGAAGCGGGGAGGAGTGAGGTGTCGGCACACACAGGATCCCGTCACAGAGCGAGCACAACACAACAAGACGCAAGCACACACAGGGAAAAGAAGCAACACTGCTCAAAACCGCCAAGGGCACCGGTGCACAAGCGCCTTTGTACCCCACAGGGAGGCTGCTGTAAGGATCCCTCCGCCAACAGCACGCCCAAAGAAACAATTCGTATTCACATAAGAACAATAACAGCCAAAAAATAAAATAAAATATATACCAAAAAACATAAACAAAAAGACAAACCAAAGAGTGAAACAAAAAAAAAAACGAACGATCGAGACAAATAATAATAACCCACTAAATACCCATATGCAAGACCCAGAGTGTGAGCTGTGTGGATGCGCATGGGCTGCGGTGTTTGCCGTGTGCACCGCCCGCATGCGGGTGATTCCGTTTTACACCGTTTTTTCGTTCTCAATGACAATTGCTGTATTCATTGACGGTTTGTGGCGGTGTCCTCTATTTTTTTTTTTTTCTTTTGTATTGATTTTTTTTTGTTTGTGTGTGGGGGAGGAGGGTTGTTCCTCTGTGTTGTTTATTTGTTTATTTAATATGTTGCCTGGATGGTTGATGTTTTTGGTTCTTTTTGTCTGCTGCGGTGTTTTCTACTTTGTTATTGTGGACATTTGATATTATTTAGAGGCTTTTTTGTTGTTGTTGTTGTTGTTGTTGTTGTTGTCACCGTCATCGCTGCTGTATTCCGTGTCAAAATGCCTGTTATTGCGGTTCCATCATTTGTTTTTCTTCATTTTCGTAAAATGACTAATGTGAAGCATTTCTATTGTTGCTTCCTTTTGTTTTTGTTTGTTTGTTTGTTTGTTTATATATATGTGTGGGTGGGTGCGGCTTTGAATGGTGGGTTCTGTGTGTTTTCAAAATTGGCCGCCATTGATTTCATGTCATTTACGTAATATGTTGAAATGAGGGGTTTGTAGTATTATGATGACTTCGTGGCTGTGGTGATACCGCACATATTGAGCCGTTAGATGCTTCTCATTCCGTGATGCACACTTCGTTGATGCCGATGTATCTGCTGAGCGACTTCTCTCTTCTCCCGTAAGCGTTTTCATATGTTTACTCTCTCTCTCTCTCTCTCTGTGTGTGTGTGTATGTGTGTGGGGGTTGCTCGGTGATAAGAGTGCCGTTGTTTTGGAGATTAAAGGATTATCAACGCTTGTCATGTGGATTGTGTTCCGTCATTTAAATACGGCAAAAATAAATAAAACATTAATATTTTATTGTAGCCGTTTGTGTCATGTACTTTGCCTCGTAAATGGCAATACCACCTCATACACTGTGTCCCATTGACGCATAAATGCACCGTGGTTCCGTTTTGTTGTTGTTGTTGGGTGGGTACAAATGAACGATGTTGTTTGCGGTAATGAGGCCGCAGTACACTTCACTAAAAGAGGAAAATTACATCATTAATGCCGCATCATTTCCAACAGTAAAAAGAAAAAGTAAAAAGTAAACACCAATGTAAAATAATAATAATAATAATAATAATAAGGTACGGCACTTGTTTCTTACAGCACCTTTTCTTCTTTTTCGTTCTTCACATGCAAAAAAATCAAACAGTAAGAGAAAGAGAGAGAAAAAAAAAAAAAAAAAAAAAAAAAAACACACACACATGGTAGACACACACACACACACACATACATACAAATAATAATAATAATAATTTATTGTGCTCATTCTTCCACAGAAAACACATTTCTTCATCGCGATGGTCTGAAAGGAGAGGCGGGGTGTCATCATACAAGAGTAGGCATAACAGTAGTAGTAGTAGTAACCCTAACCATCCCTTTTCCTCCGCATCAAAGGAGGAGTGGGAGATGTCATGGTGGACACCTCAACTCCCTCCCTCTTTGTTTCATAATTCTTCTCCTCGTGCTCTCTCACCACTCTCTCTCATTTTTATTTGTTTTTTTTTTTTTTTTTTTTGGTTTTTCGTCATTATAATAATTATTTCCCTCTTCTTCCTCCAGTTTGGGTCCTCTTTTCTTTTCTTTTCTTCTTAATTCTTCAAACATCACACACAAACACACACATACCCTCCTTTCTCACGGCAAAAAGAAGAAGAAGAAATAATAATACGCTACCAAACATATAGCGACAGTTACTGGAGAGGAAGTAAAATACCAGGCGTTCTCTTTGGCCTGTTCTTTTTTTTTCCGTCTTTCCAGTTGTTTTTTTGTTTGTTTTGTTTTGTTTGCGGCGCTGCAAAAGTAATACCACCGCTCACTGGCCTTGTTGCTGTTCATCTTGGCACTGGATGAAATAGTCCCACGCCCATTTGCAGTTTTCCGGGTGCTCCGCATTTACTTCAAGGCACTTGGAGTACGACTTAATTTGTGGAGCGCAGGCACCATCGCCGACTCGTTGTGCCATTTCCTGCGCCTGCGCCGGCTGCGTGGGTGGCTGCTCACGATTAAAGAGCATGTTGGAAATACCATGACCGAGGACGGACCCCGCAGCGACCGAGGCCACGGTGCCAAGGATACCCGTACCACCGCCACCGCGTTGCAAATAGACATTTGTCACTTGCGGCTGCTGCTGCGGGGTTGAGGCCGTCTGATGTGTGTGGTGCTGCTGTTGGTTGTGTGGCGGAGAAGTGGGGCGGGCCGGCGGAGGCGCAGCAGACGTGCGGGAATGAGAAGGAGGGGCACGACGTGTACGAGCCATTGGATGCCTTGTGGTTTATTTTACTTTATGCTTTTTTGGTGCTTCTACGCCTTTTTGCTTGCGATTCAACCTTCCTTGTTTCAGTGGCGTTTTCCCACAAATCCCATAAAAAGGCCGCCGAAAAAAAAAAATAATATATTTATATAGACACATAAAGCAAGCAAAGAGAGGAATCACGTTTCAAAGAGAATGTTGATGTGGAGCCGCATTCCTCCTGTAATATATATGTATATGTATATATTGGTTCTCTTTACTATTCTTTTTCTTGGCCCTCGTAACGCCCATTGCGCTCAGAAGGCAACTGCCAAATATCATATTTTGTCCGTTTCTGCTCGATGGTATTGCAAGAATAAAACACACACACACACGGAGACACATACACACACGCACCTAAGGGGGGGGGGGGGGGGGGGGTGTCCCCAAAAAAAAAAAACCGGTGGGAGGATCGAGAATGTGAGAGGCAACGGTATCTGCTTGAGGGCCCAGCACAAGTGACAATTAGTCGTGCTGCCATCCGCCCACCCATCTTCATTCTTTTCTTCTTCTGTTTTTTTGTTTTTTTTTCTTTTGTTTCCCACTTCAATGCACGCAACATCCTCTGCATCTCCTTCACCCGACCCCACCCCATGTCCCATTTCCTCTTTTTTTTTTTTCTTTTTTTCTTTTCTCCCCGTTTTTCTCTTCTTTTTTTTTTTTTTTTTCGTTTCATCCATAATGTCCTCATTCACCGTTTTGTTTTTTATTGTTGTTGTTGTTGTTGTTGTTGTTTGTTTAAAATTTTGACCCTCTCCCTTTTCCTCTCCCTCTCTCTCTCTCTATTCTCCCCCATTTCCCTCCCCGCCAACTGTCACGCCTGTGGGGAAGCGTATTTTTGTGTCCATTCTCGCGCCGTCCGCATTGCGGCAGCCTCATCTCGTTTCCAACTTTCTGCAACTTCGTTGTCTAGCGGATCATCCGGGTTTGGGCTTGCCATGAGCAGTTGTATGCTCAGAAGCACCTTAATAATCTGTAGCGCTGGCGACCACTTGTCTTTAATGATGTCAAGACAAATACGGCCCAGTTTATCCACATTCGGGTGGTAGATGCGCGTGAGAAACCGCACTTTGGGCGGTACCATCGGGTACTCCTCAGGAAGAAAGAGCTCAAGGTGGAAGATGCCACCCTCGTAGCTGCTCTGCGGTGGGCCACGTATTTTTACATGGAAGTAGCGCGGGTTGTTGGGTGACGGCCTGGCTTCGATGCCCTCTTGGTGCTCCCGCTGCAACTTCTCCGTCTCCTTGATGATTCGCGTCGTGAGCGCCATTTATTGGCGTGTTTTTCTGTGCGTGTGGACGAGTGTTGAGTTGTTGGGTGCTGCGTTGCAAGGAAAAATAAATAAGGGGAAAAAAAAAAAAGAAGAAAAAAAAAAAAAAGAGCATGGCAGCAAAAAATCACAAGAAATACCGTGAAGGGGAAAAAAGGACAGTCGCACACACGCACACACACAAAAAAAAAGGGGGTGGGAAGATTGATGGTGGCACAACAATTCATTAAATCCCGCCGTAACGATGTGGGCTCTTCCCCAAACCCCTTTTCTTCCTCCTCCTCTCGCCACACAAACACACACAAACACACACACACACACACACGCATACGTATATATATATACATATGCGCTCACAGTTGTGAGATAAATGCCGTGCGAGCACCACAAGAGACACCGCTGCGGGCGTATGATGGTGATGAAATATAAATAAATAAATTAAATAAATAAATAAATAAATAAATAAATAAATAAATAAATAAATAAATAAATAAATAAATAAATAGGGGAGGAACAAACAGAGGGCTGACAGACATTCATAGGGGTGTGCAGTAAAGACAAATAACCCCCTTTGCCTCCCCCCCCTCGGTTTCTATCGGGAGAAGAAGGGAGGAAAGGAGGAAATAAAATAAAAAACATTCATACGCGATCCCTACAAACAACAATGAAAAACAACGACAATAGATAAAAACAAAACCAAACAGAAATCACCCCCTCCCTCCCACCCACCCACCCAAAAGGCAAAAAAAAAAAAAAAAAAGATATGTACTAAAAAGCAACCGTCACGTAAGTCGCACTGAACGAAACGAACAGTTGCGTGGGACAAAAGAGAGACGGAGAGAGACGGAGAGGCGACAAGAAATCCTTTTCCCTTCCCTTCCCTTCCTTTCCCCCCACCACCATCCCTCGCTACAACACACACGCAAATTGTGGGCAGCCTTTTCCTTTTTCTTTTCTTTTCTTTTCTTTTTTTTTTTTTAATATTTGCAAAAATAAGTGAAACAAAAAAAAAAAAAGAAAGTGAAAACACATCCGCTCATTACAAGAATCAAAGCAAATTAAACCAAACAGAACTGCCCCTCCCTCCCCCCCCCTTTCTTCTTCTTCTTCCCTCCCAAAAAAAAAAGAAAAAAAAAAAGGATGAAGACCGTTTTCTTCTTAAATGGACCACAACTTTTAACGGCTGTGGGACGTTGCGAAATGACAGGTTTGCATTCAGAAAAAAAAAAAAATTTATAAATAAATAAATGAAAATAAATAAATGAAAATAATAATAAAGTGGCCTCCATCGTGCATGTAAAACAGAAGTATCTGTTCTTCTCTATTCTGTCCACTCCACTCTCCCCCCCCCCCCCCCCCGGCCCACAAAAAAAACAAAAAAAAAATGCATGTGCCTCAAGTTCTCCGTAATCCTGAAGGTCTGCTGCACGCATATATACATACATATGTACATATACGGCCATGCCGAGTGTAAATGAAGTGAGCTCCATGCAGTAAAGGGGGTAAAAAAAAAAAAAAAAGAAAAAAAAAAGCCACCAAAATAAATAAATTCAGCGTGTCGCCCCTCCCTCCCTCATCCGTCCCACAAATAAACTAAAAATAAAAATGAAAATAAAAATAAAGGAAAACGAAATAAACACAAACATAAATAATGCATGTGTGCATGTAAAGTATATAATAATAATAATAATAATAATAATAATAATAATAAAAGGTGCTGTTGGAGACAAAAACAGAGCAGAGGTACACACACACACTCAAAAAAAAAAAAAAAAAAAAAAAAGAGGCCACGAAAAGAGGTGGGAAGCAACAACAACAACAACAAGCATAAAGCCTTCAAAGTGTTTCCTTCTCCCCCCTCACCAATCGTTGCATCCTATTCCGCCCCACCACCACACACACACACACACACTGGCGCCATTATTGCCATTACTTTCATCTTTTGATTAAAATAACACACACAGAGAGAGAGGGGGAAAGAAAAAAAAAAAAGAAAAAAAAAAGAGGTTTTCTGCGTGTAAGAAGGCAAAGCACGAATTCAATCGCTTGTCGCTTGTCTCTTGTCTCAAAAAAATTGATGCAACACTTCCTTCAGTAATGTCACCATTCTGTACAACTCTCGCTGTGCCGCCTCATCCGCATCCCGAATGGCGCTCCGTATGCCGCAGGCGAAGACGACATGTCGCTGCTCAGAAACTCCACCGGTGTTGTTGTTTGTCATCTTGTGGTGCGTATTGCCCGTTGGGCCAATGTGGGATGCCGCCCAATCCAAATTCACCGCACCACAACAGACGGCAAGGGCAACGCCAAAAAGGGGATGTGACTCCATCCAACTTCGGACCACACCACGTGTCTGAAAAGATTGACCAGCACCTCCTGCACATCCGTCTTGCTCAGCCGTGCTTTCATCATCCCCGGCGGCGGCATCCATTAAAAACAATAAAACGCGTTCGCAGGCCAGTAGAAGTTGCTCCAAACTGGTCTCATAACGACACCGAGACTCGTTCTCATTAAAAGAAAGCGGCCACCCCACTTGCGCACCCTTCTGCCGCTCCCACCCCTCCTCGTCGCCCAGCATCATTTGCTCTTCTTCCTCAGCATGAGATTCAGAAAGAAGTTGAATGGCAACTGCCCACCAGCGGGGTTCCTCTATGCAAAACCCACATACTCTGAGAACGACCGACTCCACCTGAATGATATCTCTTACATTAAGCACACGATGATGGTGGAAGAAGGCGCCATCAAGAATTTGAAGCAGTACGACAGCGGTGGCATCAATGTCTGCATACTTCCAACACACAAGAAGACAAGCGGCCATAAGAAAAAGATGCTGACGTGCACTGAGGGTTTCAAATTCATTCACGCCATCCCGGAATGTCACTGTGTGAGCGTAGTTGGATAGTAACTGCAACGCCGTCAGTGGCACCTCCGCCGCCTTTTTCCACGAGAACCGATGCTCCTCAAGAGCAAGAAGAAAACTAAATCCCATCGACATCATGGTTGCGGCAAGTTCGTGGTGACGCTGCAAAAACCATGATAGCACCACGGAGGACGTGTTGGGCTGATGCAACAAATCCTTTCCTGTGTAAAACAAAAAACGGTTTTCCAAGGGAAACAATCGCACCTTGACAAAGTCCATAGTCCCGGAAACTACATGGCAACGCTCTTCTTCCTCTTCTCGAAGCGTTGAAGATTTCGTACCTGCCGTTTTGATCAACTCGTCCGTGTAAGAAAGAAACAAAGTCAAAAGAGCTGGACTAATGTCCACAGCAGCG